AAATTATTGCTACTTGGTACATTACATTACATTTATATTTTTGGAACCCCCTAAAGGGGAGGTTCCTTGATGCTGGTGAGGGGTTTTTGATTTAGGGAATTGGATCTGTGCTCCAGTTCCCTGAAATGAGCCTGAATACCTTCCATCCCCCCCTCCCACATGCGCTGTATAATCCTACGGGTTTAGCGCTCCCCCGTGCTTATAAAAAATAATACATTTTGGAAGGTTTTGAATTTCTTGTGAGCAATATCAAAATTTAACTGGGAAATTTCCCTTGGAACTGAGATAAGTGTACAATATGTATATGGTAACAATATTTGTTTTCCCACACTGGCCTGACTTGTATGTCTGTCTTTTTATCATGTGTTTCATAAGAGGCAACTAATTACTGGGGCAAGAGGCTAGTAACCCCTTCTGTATAAATTACTAAATTTAAAAAGAAAATCTCGTTTTCCTTTTTAAGTCATCCTGCCTCAGTGGGATACAGCTGGTTTGTTGAAAAAAAATAAAATATATAATATAATATAAAAAATATATATAAAATTAAAAAAAATGCAGTAGTAGAATTGTGGGGCAGAAGAAGTGGTTATGAAGGTGGGTGCAGGAGGAAAGAGGAGTGTTTGGGTGGAATGATGAAGTAAAGGGGTTGTAAAAAGAGAGAAAAAGGTAAGCTTATGAGAGGTTTTTACCAAAACAGAAGTGTTATAAGAAGAGCAGAGTACGTATATGGAGAGTAAAAGAAAGGTAAAGAGAGGGGCGAGAGAGTGAAAAAAGGGAGCAGATGTTTAGAGTGGGAGAGGCACTGTCAAGAAATTTTAATAAAAATAAGAAAAAATTTGGAGTTAAATAAGTTAAGAAAGCCTAGGAAATGAATGAATTTGTCAGTTAAAAACAGAGTAGGGGAGTTAGTAGATGGGGAAATGGAGGTATTAGGTAGATGGTGAGAATATTTTGAGGAACTTTTAAATGTCGACGAAGAAAGGGAGGCAGTAATTTCATGCACTGGCCAGGGAGGTATACCATCTTGAAGGAGTGAAGAAGAGCAGAATGTAAGTGTAGGGGAGGTACGTGAGGCATTACGTAGAATGAAAGGGGGTAAAGAGGCTGGAACTGACGGGATCATGACAGAAATGTTAAAAGCAGGGGGGATATAGTGTTGGAGTGGTTGGTACTTTTGTTTAATAAATGTATGAAAGAGGGGAAGGTACCTCTTTCATGTATAGTCCCTTTATATAAAGGGAAGGGGGACAAGAGATATTGTAAAAATTTTAGAGGAATTAGTTTACTGAGTATACCAGGAAAAGTGTACGGTAGGGTTATTATTGAAAGAATTGGGAGGTAAGACAGATATAGGATTGCGGATAAAAAGGTTTGGGAAGTTTTTATTGGTTTATTGGACTTAAAAAAGGCATAGATTGAGTGGATAGGGAGCAATAGGGCAGATGTTGCAATTATATGGAATAGGTGGTAAGTTACTAATGCTGTAAAGAGTTTTTATGAGGATAGTGAGGTAAGGTTAGGGTGTGTAGAAGAGAGGAAGAATTTCCCCTGGTAAAAGTAGGTCTAGACGGGGATGGTAATGGTCACCATGGTTGTTTAATATATATATATAGATGGGGTTGTAAAAGAAGAAAATGCTGGGGCATTCGGGAGAGGGGTTGGATTAAATTATGGGGAATCAAATACAAAAGGGGAATTGACACAGTTGCTTTGCTGATGTTACTGTGCTTATGGAGATTCTAAAGAAAAATTGCAAAGGTTAGTGGATGATTTGGGGAGAGTTTTGTTAACAGTAAAAGTTGAAAGTGAACATAGAAAAGAGTAGGTGATGAGGTATCAATTATTTAGATAAAGAAAAATTGGATATCATATTGGAAAGGAGGAATAAGGAGGAAGTGAATGTTTTCAGATACTCGGGAGTTGACGTGTTAGCAGATGGATTTATGAAGGATGAGGTTAATCATAGAATTGATGAAGGAAAAAAGGTGAGTGGTGCGTTGAGGTATATGTGGAGACAAAGAACGTTATCTATGGAGGCAAAGAAGGGAATGTATGAAAGTATAGTGGTACCAACACTCTTATATGGGTTTGAAGCTTGGGTGGTAAATGCAGGAGCAAGAAGACGGTTGGAGGCAATGGAGATGTCCTGTTTAAGGGCATTGTGTGGTGTAAATATTATGCAGAAAATTTGGAGTGTGGAAATTAGGAGGTGTGGAGTTAATAAAAGTAATAGTCAGAGGGCTGAAGAGGAGTTGTTGAGGTGGTTTGGTCATTTAAAGAGAATGGATCAAAGTAGAATGACATGGAAAGTGTATAAATCTATAGGTTGGAGAGAGAGGGTAAAGGAGGCTTTGTGGGCGAGGGGCTTGGACTTCTAGCAAGCATGCATGAGCATGTTAGATAGGAGTGAATGGACACGAATGGTACTTGGGACCTGACGAGCTGTGTGAGCAGGGTAATATTTAGTGAAGGGATTCAGGGAAACCAGTTATTTTTATATAGTTGGAGTTGAGTCCTGGAAATGGGAAGTACAATGCCTGCACTTTAAAGGAGGGGTTTGGGATATTGGCAGTTTGGAGGGATATGTTGTGTATCTTTATACGTATATGCTTCTAGACTGTTGTATTCTGAGCACCTCTGCAAAACCAGTGATTAACAGCATTAATCCCCATAAGGGGATTAATGCTGTTAAGGGGATCTTTATCCAATAAAGTGGACCTGCTATTCCCTTCCTTGAATCTAAATGCCTCCTATTTCTCTTGGTGCTGTGATCCCTGAGGTTTTGAACTCCCCCTATAAATATAATAATAAAATACTGTTTGGAGTAATTATGTGTGAATGACAGTGAAAGTGTTTCTTTTTTGGGTCACCCTGCCTCAATGGGAGACAAGCAACACGTTAAAAAAAATAATAATACTGTACTGAATTATTTATAATAAATTATTGTAATGCACACTGTTTGTAAAGATGAATAATCACATTCTGATTCTTCTCTAAGTAATATGAGCAACGAATAAAATATTATACACCAGAGAATAATTTATGGAAATAACAGTAGTATATGTTTCAAAATGTAAACAATAGGATATTTTATTGGAAACATTTGGAGTGACCAAGGTCCCATGACTGAAACATTTCCAATAAAATGCCCTAGTGTTTGCATTGTGCATCTTATTTTCACCCAGAGTAATTTATTACAACTCCATTCAGGACCAACTTCATTCAGTACAGCTATGTATCTTTATTGTACTTCTGCATTTTATCATTCACTACTCAACTCTTTATTAAAAACATTTTTTTTTTTTTTTCAACAAGTTGGTCGTCTCCCACCGAGGCAGGGTGACCCAAAAAAGAAAGAAAATCCCCAAAAAGAAAATACTTTCATCATCATTCAACACTTTCACCACACTCACACATTATCACTGCTTTTGCAGAGGTGCTCAGAATACAACAGTTTAGAAGCATATACGTATAAAGATACACAACATATTAACAAAATTTAGCAAACATGCTAAGAATAATCAAAACATTAAATGAACTGAAATAATATACTACAGGTACTGTACAGAAAAATGAGCATTATAATAATGAACTATTTAGAGGAATCTTCAACTCCATTTTCACTACAGTGCTGGTAAACATTTAAATATAATAAAATTATATAAAATTAAATGTTATAGCTATGTTGTTGGAGGTCAGTGTACACATACATAGGCCTATAAACATCTATACCTAATATAGGTTCACTGTGCAAATTATTTCCCCTCAACGGCTAATACACAACATTTGTGAAGAGGAGGACTGGTCAGACTGGTCCCTGACACCATTAGCTGTTAACGTAGATACATATCTAACAGAGGTGACTAGGTCCTATTATAGGACATACATATTTATATTTAATACTGTGCTTAAAAATGAGAATCACTTGGATTGGCAATTGGAAAATAAATTAATTCACCATCATTTAACTTTAAATTTAACAGCAAGAACTTCTTGGCAGGCACAATAAATGTGTTGGAGACAAGCTAGACGTGGCCATGTGTTCTGTGGGAACAGAGTAGAGTATGTAAGCATGAAGACATGTATTTGATAATGGATGTTTGGCAAGGACTGTTGACAGAGATGTGAATAAAAGTACTACATAAGAACTAGCCTTTCTTGTAGACATTGTTTCAATTGAGTAGAGTTTTATTTAGTTAAACAAAAGCTCTCAATACTTTTTATGGTGTCTAAATCCCAGATTGATACAGTACTTAAAAGTATTGTCTTCTGTGTCTCTTCTTTGTTTATAACTAATTTGGTATTGTTTGAAGCCATGATAAAGATATGTTTGTTGTGGTATACGTACTACACATTCATTGTTGATGTGTGTGTCCAGTGTATTTATCATGTTATAAATGGTATACAATACCTACAAGTGTAGGATTAAGACACCTGAGTAACACTTATGTATCTTCATTAAAACATGTTTTGAAGATTGAGACACTTATGCAACATATGGGAATCTTTATTCAGGAAACGTTTCGCCACACAGTGGCTTCATCAGTCCAATACAAAGTAGAAAGGCGTAAGGAGAGGAGGAGTTTGAGGGACTGATTACCTCAAACTCCTCCTCTCCTTACACCTTTCTACTTTGTATTGGACTGATGAAGCCACTGTGTGGCGAAACGTTTCCTGAATAAAGATTCCCATATTTTGCATAAGTGTCTCAATCTTCAACTTGTCGGTTTTTTCAAACCATTCATCAAAACATGTTTTGCTTGTGTAGCAAGCTTCAGCAGTTGAATACAGAAGTGATAACAATCCTGGAGACAGAAGAAGTGAAAAAGAAATTTTGTGGTAATAATTCCCTTAGCCCTGACTAAAATGTTCAGTCTCTTAACCTAAGGTGGAGGAATGTGACTGGAGACTTACATGCTCAAACTGAAAGTGAGGTGTGGCTAAAGATGATGTCACAGATGAGCTTGGACCGCTAGTGGAAAATAGGTCATGCTAAAAAACTTGTTATGAACAGTTGTAGAAGACTTTCCCTGCACCAAGATATCCTTGTATTCAAGTGATGAAGCCTGCTGTCCAGGCAAAACATCCTGCAATAAAGGTACTTTGGTGTTGCACAGGTGTCTTACTCATCAAGTGTATTTTATGTTTTATGTACTGTGTGTGAAACATCATGAGACATTTACTCAAGAACATATAATACTGTTCTAACAATGCATCTATGATCCACAGTGATAAACATATCAACATCATGGCTTGGAATAACACCATGTTTGCCATAAAAAGAAGAAAACTTCTACTGTACAGAAGGAAATACCTAAGAGGCTGTAGCAATTCAGAGGTTCAACACCATAAAAAAGAAACAAGGAACATTCAACATTGTTTCACCTCTAGTAAAATTACTGGACAGTCACACCAGTACATATAATGCAACGAGGCCCAATTAATGCTGTACCTCACCTTATTTCTCCTCTTCCCAGCTGCCAAGGAATATATAAGCTCATGTTTTCATGCTCCTACTATTGGCTTAATAAAGCTTGTCTCAACTGAATACTGTCTACAATAAAGAGTAGTCCTATGTCAGGTTTGTATAAAGACACATGTATTTCACGTCTACATAAATCTTTGATATCTGTTCTTGGAAACCTTTCAGTCATCAATGGGTTATCATATAAAAATGTACAGTGCTACCTTCAGTTACTACTCATCTGCAACTATCTCATCTTTATTTAACTTTCCCTGTAATAGTTAATAGTCCAGTAGTTGTATTCACTTCAGTTTTTTTTTTTTTTTTTTTTTTTTTCAACAAGTCGGCCGTCTCCCACCGAGGCAGGGTGACCCAAAAAAAAAGAAGGAAAATCCCCAAAAAGAAAATACTTTCATCATCATTCAACACTTTCACCACACTCGCACATTATCACTGTTTTTGCAGAGGTGCTCAGAATACAACAGTCTAGAAGCATACACATATAAAGATACACAACATATCCCTCCAAACTGCCAATATCACTTCAGTTGTGTAAATCAAATATATAAATGTAGCACCTCACAACATCCAAGGATTTTTTACTTTAAGCTGGTATCTATTAATTAATTTAATACAATCTGTTCTATTTTCTCATTCTGATCTAGAAGTTGAGATTCATAACTTAACTTACCAAAAAGAGAGGTATTAGTTTTGGATTTTGAACTGCTTTCTCTCCTCTTACAAGAAGAGCCATATAAAACAAAACTCGTTGCTGTTGAGAGAGAGGTTCATACCATTACATATTCACACACAATAATAGGTATAATGCATGAATTCAAAAATTTATATATTACTTCACATTAGGTATGATAATTTAAGTTTTTTTCTATATTTTAGAATAAGACTTGCCTAGAATCTCAGACCTGGTTAAGAGTTATGCAACATTTATAAGATTATGAAAGCCATAACAGTTATATCCAAGACAAAGAATTTTTTGCGCTATTTTTGGCCTATGAAGCAAAGGAGTGCATTCTTTGTGATAATATATTATTTTATGCATACACCAAGTAAAGGTCTACATCATGCTGTGAAGAAATCTTACATGATAGAGAAAAATTGATATATGTACAGTATTCGGAATCGGCATCACAAATACATATACAGTACGTATATGCAAAGTACATCAAAGTAATTGAAACCTTAAATATGTCACATTTTGTAGACTTGTAGTCTGTAAAATATAAATATTAAATACAGTAAAGTATTAAATACAGTAAATATAACAGACCTTGATATAATGGACTTTTAAAATTATGGACAAAATCCATTGGCTAAATGTATTTTGAACACCTTTATTTTCAATGTTTATTAGAGTATGTATGAAGACTGCATGTACAGTGCTACATTTGGTATGCAGTAGAGCACTTTACTGCATTTTATTGCTGTTTTTTAACATCATTCTGATTGAACATACACTCGGACAACCTCCCTATTAGTTTGTTATATTTAAAGGGGTTTTCTGTATACTTTAAATATCATTTTCCCTGATAGACTAATTCGTATTATTAGAAATAAGATTTATATACAGTATGTATGCTAAAATGGCACATTATTTGGTACACCCTTCTAGTCCTGGGTAAGGCATCCCCCTCTGCCCCCAGAACAGCCTATATTCTTTGTGGCATATACTGAAGATAAAAGATAAAGATTTTATTTCTTTGCATAGGTTACATTGTGTAATTACAATTTTGATTTGTTAAATGCAAAGAAAGCCACTATCATGCTGGGGCATTTTGGGCAGACTAATCCTAATACTTAAAAACTACTTAAAACTAGACAAGATAAGAATGATTATCTTTTTAATAAATCTTTATTTTATCTTAATGCTAATGCGAGGTGATGAAAGATTGGATATCAGATTGGAGGGAGAGAGTATGGAGGAGGTGAATTTTTTTTTTTTTTTATATTAACACACTGGCTGATTCCCACCAAGGCAGGGTGGCCCGAAAAAGAAAAACTTTCACCATCATTCACTCCATCACTGTCTTGCCAGAAGGGGGCTTTACACTACAGTTTTTAAACTGCAACATTAACACCCCTCCTTCAGAGTGCAGACACTGTACTTCCCATCTCCAGGACTCAAGTCCGGCCTGCCGGTTTCCCTGAACCCCTTCATAAATGTTACTTTGCTCACACTCCAACAGCACGTCAAGTATTAAAAACCATTTGTCTCCATTCACTCCTATCAAACACGCTCACGCATGCCTGCTGGAAGTCCAAGCCCCTCGCACACAAAACTCCTTTTACCCCCTCCCTCCAACCTTTCTAGGCCAACCCCTACCCCACCTTCCTTCCACTACAGACTCATACACTCTTGAAGTCACTCCGTTTCGCTCCATTCTCTCTACATGTCCGAACCACCTCAACAACCCTTCCTCAGCCCTGTGACAACAGTTTTGGTAATCCCGCACCTCCTCCTAACTTCCAAACTACGAATTCTCTGCATTATATTCACACCACACATTGCCCTCAGACATGACATCTCCCACTGCCTCCAGCCTTCTCCTCGCTGCAACATTCATCACCCATGCTTCACACCTCCAAGGACAAAGTTCTTTGTCTCCACAGCTCCTAAGTGCACCACTCACGCCTTTTCCCTCATCAATTCTATAATTCACCTCATCTTTCATAGACCCATCCGCTGACACGTCCACTCCAATATCTGAATACATTCACCTCCTCCATACTCTCTCCCTCCAATCTGATATCCAATCTTTCATCAACCTAATCTTTTTGTTATCCTCATATACCTTACTCTTTCCTGCATTCACTTTTAATTTTCTTTTTTGCATACCCTACCAAATTCATCCACCAATCTCTGCAACTTCTCTTCAGAATCTCCAAGAGCACAGTGTCATCAGCAAAGAGCAAACTGTGACAACTCCCACTTTATGTGTGATTCTTTATCTTTTAACTCCACGCCTCTTGCCAAGACCCTCGCATTTACTTCTCTTACAACTCCATCTATAAATATATTAAACAACCATGGTGACATCACACATCCTTGTCTAAGGCCTACTTTTACTGGAAATAATTTCCCTCTTTCCTACATACTCTAACTTGAGCCTCACTATCCTCGTAAAAACTCTTCACTGCTTTCAGTAACCTACCTCATACACCATACACCTGCAACATCTGCCCATTGCCCCCCTATCCACCATTGTCATACACCTTTTCCAAATCCATAAATGCCACAAAGACCTCTTTAGCCTTATCTAAATACTGTTCACTTATAGTGTTTCACTGTAAACCACCTGGTCCACACACCCTCTACCTTTCCTAAAGCCTCCTTGTTCATCTACTATCCTATTCTCCGTCTTACTCTTAATTCTTTCAATAATAACTCTACCATACACTTTACCAGGAATACTCAACAGACTTATCCCCCTACAATTTTTGCACTCTCTTTTGTCCCCTTTGCCTTTATACAAAGGAACTATGCATGCTCTCTGCCAATCCCTAGGTACCTTACCCTCTTCCATACATTTATTAAATAATTGCACCAACCACTCCAAAACTATATCCCCACCTGCTTTTAACAATTCTATCTTTATCCCATCAATCCCGGCTGCCTTACCCCCATTTATTTTACCTACTGCCTCACGAACTTCCCCCACACTCACAACTGGCTCTTCCTCACTCCTACAAGATGTTATTCCTCCTTGCCCTATACACGAAATCACAGCTTCCCTATCTTCATCAACATTTAACAATTCCTCAAAATATTCCCTCCATCTTCCCAATACCTCTAACTCTCCATTTAATAACTCTCCTCTCCTATTTTTAACTGACAAATCCATTTGTTCTCTAGGCTTCCTTAACTTGTTAATCTCACTCCAAAACTTTTTCTTATTTTCAACAAAATTTGTTGATAACATCTCACCCACTCTCTCATTTGCTCTCTTTTTACATTGCTTCACCACTCTCTTACCCTCTCTCTTTTTCTCCATATACTCTTCCCTCCTTGCATCACTTCTACTTTGTAAAAACTTCTCATATGCTAACTTTTTCTCCCTTACTACTCTCTTTACATCATCATTCCACCAATCGCTCCTCTTCCCTCCTGCACCCACTTTCCTGTAACCACAAACTTCTGCTGAACACTCTAACACTACATTTTTAAACCTACCCCATACCTCTTCGACCCCATTGCCTATGCTCTCATTAGCCTATCTATCCTCCAATAGCTGCTTATATCTTACCCTAACTGCCTCCTCTTTTAGTTTATAAGCCTTCACCTCTCTCTTCCCTGATGCTTCTATTCTCCTTGTATCCCATCTACCTTTTACTCTCAAGTGTAGCTACAACTAGAAAGTGATCTGATATATCTGTGGCCCCTCTATAAACATGTACATCCTGAAGTCTACTCAACAGTCTTTTATCTACCAATACATAATCCAACATTATCATTTACACCTGGCACCCCAAACTTACCTACCACACCCTCTCTAAAAGTTTCTCCTACTTTAGCATTCAGATCCCCTACCATAATTACTCTCTCACTTAAAATCTCCCAAAATCTCTCTCTCTCCTCTACATTCCTCTCTTCTCCTTCTTCAGATATTGGGGAGTGGACTTGTCAGCAGATGGGTCTATGAAAGATGAGGTGAATCATAGAATTGATGAGGGGAAAAAGGTGAGCGGTGCACTTAGGAGTCTGTGGAGACAAAGAACTTTGTCCTTGGAGGCAAAGAGGGGAATGTATGAGAGTATAGTTTTACCAATGCTCTTATATGGGTGTGAAGCATGGGTGATGAATGTTGCAGCAAGGGGAAGGCTGGAGGCAGTGGAGATGTCATGTCTGAGGGCAATGTGTGGTGTGAATATAATGCAGAGAATTCGTAGTTTTAAAGCTAGGAGGAGGTGCGGGATTGCCAAAACTGTTGTCCAGAGGGCTGAGGAAGGGTTGTTGAGGTGGTTCAGACATGTAGAGAGAATGGAGCGAAACAGAATGACTTCAAGAGTGTATGAGTCTGTAGTGGAAGGAAGGTGGGGTAGGGTCGGCCCTAGGAAAGGTTGGAGGGAGGGGTAAAGGAGGTTTTGTGTGCGAGGGGCTTGGACTTCCAGCAGGCATGCTTGAGCGTGTTTGATAGGAGTGAATGGAGACAAATGGTTTTTAATACTTGACGTGTTGTTGGAGTGTGAGCAAAGTAACATTTATGAAGGGATTCAGGGAAACTGGCAGACCAGACTTGAGTCCTGGAGATGGGAAGTACAGTGCCTGCACTCTGAAGGAGGGGTGTTAATGTTGCAGTTTAAAAACTGTAGTGTAAAACACCTTTCTGGCAAGACAGTGATGAGTGAATGATGGTGAAAGTTTTTCTTTTTCGGGCCACCCTGCCTTGGTGGGAATTGGCCAGTGTTAATAAAAAATAAATAACTAATGCGAGATAGTCGAAGATGGAGATTTATAAGAATAATAATCTTGAAGTTGCATATAATAAATAACAATATTACAAATAATGGTTTGAACAGTACTATTTTATAGATCAGCAGATGTTTTAATAGACTAGAGGTCATATAATATTTGGGAGAATTGCTGCAAACTGATTAGAGATGAGAGAAGAGACAATTTTTAAGCATAGCCCTAACTGTGTATGCAATCAGGGGATCTTTTACAGGTTCAGGTAGTGAATTCCAGATCTTCGGGCCCTTTATGTGCATTGCATTTCTGCAAAGTGTGAGACTGACATAAGGGCTGTCAAAGAGTGCTTTGTGCCTTGTATTGTGACCATGTGACTTATGTCATCTCCCACCCTAAATCTTGCCTATTGTTAATGAAGAGATAATAAAAATATCATCCTGGATGACTGCCAATAAACTTCTACTTAACACTGACAAAACCTTCAACAAGGTCCTTAGACATTCTGATCCATGCTGACATGATAGCATCAAATAATTCCTGCAGATTTGTCAGCTGCAATCATGCTGCAAATCTCCCATTCCACCAGTCTGGTGACTGTGGAGGCCATCATAGTACACTGAACTCATAGTCATGTTCATGGAACCAGCTTGAGATGACATGTGCTTTATGAGATGATGCATTATCCTGCTGGAAGTGGCCACTGAAAGATGGGTAGACTATGCAACCCCATAGAGGGATGCACATGGTCATCAGCAACACTTAGGTAAACTATGGTATTTAAATGATGCTCAACAGGTATTATGGGGTTTGTTCAGTTTTGGTGAGCCTGTGCCCACTGTAGCCTCAGTTTCCTGTTTTTAGCTGACAGGAGTGGAACTGAGTGTGGTCTGCTGCTGTACCCATCCACTTCAAGGTTTGATGTGTTGTGCATTCAGGGATGCTCTTCTACATACCACTGTTGTGATGCATGGTTATGAGAGTTATTGTCGCCTTCCTGTCAGCTTCAACCAGTCTGGCCATTCTCCTCTGTATTCTCATTAACAAGATGTTTTTGCCCACTGAACTGCTGCCCACTGGATGTTTTGTGTTTTTCACACCATTCTCTGTAAACTCTAAGAGACTGTTGTACATGAAAATCCCAAGAGCAGCAGCAGTTTCTGTGATACTCAAACTACATCATCTAGCACCAACAATCATTCCACGGTCAAAGTCACCTTTATCATATTACATACTGCCCTATTCTGATATTTAGTCTGGAGAACAACCGAACGTCTTTACTATGTCTGCATGCTTTTAGGAATTGAGGTGCTACCGTGTGATTAGGTGATTAGATATTTGCATTAATAAGCAGGTGCAGTTGTACCTGATTAAGTGGCCACTGAGTGTAAAACAGCAAATGTGACATATTCATATTTATGCATCCCATAAATAAAGTAACAGCTGTACAGACCAGCACCTTGGAGAGTGAATGTAAAATTATATGAGATAATTATTCTTGTCCTAGGTAGTAGGTTGGTAGACAGCAACCGCCCAGGGAGGTACTACCGTCCTGCCAAGTGAGTGTAAAACGAAAGCCTGTAATTGTTTTACATGATGGTAGGATTGCTGGTGTCTTTTGTCTGTCTCATAAATATGCAAGATTACAGGTAAGTCTTGCTACTTCTACTTACACTTAGGTCACACTAAACATACATGTACAAGCATATATATACACACCCCTCTGGGTTTTCTTCTATTTTCTTTCTAATTCTTGTTCTTGTTTATTTCCTCTTATCTCCATGGGGAAGTGGAACAGAATTCTTCCTCTGTAAGCCATGCGTGTTGTAAGAGGCGACTAAAATGCCGGGAGCAAGGGGCTAGTAACCCCTTCTCCTGTATATATTACTAAATTTAAAAGGAGAAACTTCAGTTTTTTCTTTTGGGCCACCCCACCTCAGTGGGATACGGCTGGTACGTTGAAAGAAGAATTATTCTTGTGTATAAACTTTTAAGGTTGTGTCTCGCTGGAATATATAATACTCCCTTGATGTTACAAGAGGTATTGCAAGGTAAGAATAAATAAGCAGAGGGTTCCCAGAACTGGAATATATATACGTATTTTTTTTAATAGGGTGTGGGGGAAATGGGGAGAAGGAAAGACCTGCTAACTGTGAAAGAATGGATGACCCATCCCAATATAAAACTGGAAAAAAAAATTGACTTATCCTCAACTTGTGTTAAATACAGCAAAGAAAATCAAGACTGATCAGGACTGCAATGGGTATTAAAATCTTAATACGCAGTTAATTATGTTACTAAGCTAATTTATTAGCGAGTGTTCTCTTAAATTTTCCTTGTATAAAATATTTACTGTTGTACTACCCTCTATTGCTTTTTGTTTTTGGACCTTAAAACTCCACTAATTTAACCCAATTTCTCTTATTACAATTTAATTAATCTCTATCATCTTTATTATTTTTATTATAAAAAGTCCAAAACTTTTACAATTATCAGACATCAATAACTGGCCAATAATGGCTTCATTTCATATTTAAAGGCATGTTTCCAACTAATTTTGGGATGCTGAATTCAACTCTGAATTTAGTTTTGCTACAACATCTACAGTTGACTCAAGAAATTGTAATGACACGATTGCAAACAAACCATACCCCCGGCCGGGATTGAACCCGCGGTCATAGAGTCTCAAAACTCCAGCCCGTCGCGTTAGCCACTAGACCAGCTAGCCACAATAAGATTCATCCAACTAGGTATATTTCTACACCATAGGAAGGTTAGCACAGGCACCTCTGTGACCACAAATGCAAGTTTTTACAGACGAATCTCCAGCTAGTGTGGCCGTGACGAACTCTAGCTCAAGTCTCTTCACTGCCGTCAACATGACTCAAGAAATCGTAATGACACGATTGTGGCTAGCTGGTCTAGTGGCTAACGCGACGGGCTGGAGTTTTGAGACTCTATGACCGCGGGTTCAATCCCGGCCGGGGGTATGGTTTGTTAACATCTACAGTTTCTGTGAGAGAGAGCCATCCTAGATAAGAGCTATCAGGGAAACCTGACTATTGGATGACTGACTATTGCTACACACTGGTGCAAGAACACAATACTGAACACAAGCAAAAAAGTCTGAAAAGTGTGAACTGTGATGTAAAAATGCTTGTATGACCATAGAAATTTCTGTTATTTTTGCTATGCATACAGTGGACCCCCAGTTAACGATATTTTTTCACTCCAGAAGTATGTTCAGGTGCCAGTACTGACCGAATTTGTTCCCATAAGGAATATTGTGAAGTAGATTAGTCCATTTCAGACCCCCAAACATACACGTACAAACGCACTTACATAAATACACTTACATAATTGGTCGCATTTGGAGGTGATCGTTATGCGGGGGTCCACTGTATATGCATACAAACAATGAATTTACATTAACAAAGATTATTTTTGGTTACTGCATTCACCACACTTAATATCTGTGCATAATATAATACCTATATGAATTTTCAACCTTAAATATTTAAGTCAGGATAATGATCATAAGATTTCAAAAAACCTTACACGACAGAGACTAAACAAGTCAGATTCATGATCAGGCACATAAAGTTATTTTAAAGCAACCAATTTGATTTCTGAACTAGATAAAAAGTTAAATTTTGTTGACTAGTGTAATTTGCTGGTGTATTTTAAAAACTGAATGTTCCCAACCCAAATGCTAATTAAAATATAATATATATGTATAGATAGAGGGATAGAGGGAGGGGGTAAAGGAGGTTTTGTGGGCGAGGGGCTTGGACTTCCAGCAAACATGTGTGAGCATGTTAGATAGGAGTGAATGGAGATAAATGGTTTTTGGGACCTGACGAGCTGTTGGAGTGTGAGCAGGGTAATATTTTGTGAGTGATTCAGGGAAACTGGTTAGCCGGACTTAACTCCTGGAAATGGGACGTATAATGCCTGCACTTTAAAAGAGGGGTTAGGGATATTGGCAGTTTGGAGGGACATTTGAACTCTCATATCTGGGAGCAGAGGCACCCAGATATGAGATGATGATGAAAGTTTTTTCTTTCTTTATGTGTGTTTTTCTTTCTTTTTGGGTCACCCTGCCTTGGTGGAAAATGGCTGACATGTTAAAAAAAAAATAGATAGATTGTGCCTGATAATACAGTAGTTTAAAAAATATTAAGTGAATGAGATTAAAAAAATATTTACTGTTAACTGATGTCTTAATAAGCAAATTAGTTAATGACACAGCACAGTGACCAACAAAATCCATGTCAAGCAAGGGCTGACATTTTCAGCATGTACATGCCATTCTAAATATAAGCGTAATAAAGCAAAGGATAATTCATTTCTCCTGCAGTATAAATCAGAAAACATTAAATGTCAAGTGAAACAAGTACATATACATATACTGTACTGTGCTTACCAATGATATAGTTTCGGCAATAATAACATCAATTACATTCTTCCAGGGGATAAAGCGCGTGCGCTGTTTCCCTGTATAAAAGGTTGCAGTGGTTTGTACGCCAGTACCTGCCATAAGCAGCAATGTCTCTGAAAATTTTAAATAAATAACCTTTAATATATATTTGTACTAATTATTATCTACAAAATGCTATCTGCAATAAAAAAAAACGTAAGAAAGGTTTTTAAGGATGCACAGTAAATGTTTTATTAGAAGAGGGCTTAAAACAAGCATTAGGAAGTTTCAGGGAGATGTGAAACTGGCCAAGAAAGATTTCACATACTATATGAGACAAGAATTGATGATGAAGAAAGAAAACAGTTTTGAAGTATAATATAATAACTTGACATGAATGGATGTATGTAGACTGAAATGAATTCATCCTTTCCTCCCTCCTCCCCCCCTCCAAAAAAAAAAAAAGAGAAACTAGTGAGGTTCAGTGTGATATACTGTAATACACTATCATTATAATATTATTGTGAACATCAGTTTAACATGCCACAAGGATGTAGCTACTCTACATTCATTACTTGTTTAATGTACCAATGTAAATAATTATACAACAGATTATATGGCATCAGTTGCAAGAAGAAAAACAGAGACTCATTTTCCCATCTTTTATGGTTAAGATTTTCTTTCCTGTGACTTGCACCATTTACATAAAATATAAAATTTGTGCAAAAAATATACATCATCTTGGTAATCCATTTTAAAGTATTCCACATTTAGTTATATACATGTACTGTACTTCATCATCTTATAAACATACTATGCAAAAACTAACCTGAAACAACTTTTCCATGAATCCTATAAAGAAAAGTTACCAGCTGTATGATGACAACTGTGACAAGCCATGCTAAGTGAAGCGTGTGTAACTTTGTGATGAAGGCAATCACTGCCAAAATACAGGAGGGCCCCGCTTTACGGCGTTCCGCTTTACGGCGTTCCGCTAATACGGACATTTCAAATTATGACCAAAACTCACTATACGGCTCCCCCCACCTGACTTTCTAATACGGTCACCGTGCCCCACCCTGTTTGTTTACATTCTCCATGAGCTCAGTAAGCACTAAGTCTCTCCATTTTGTCTGGAAACTCCAAAATTTCAAATGTTTTTAAAAGTTATTTCATATTTTATATATACTCTGATAATTATACTTATGTATACCTGTACCTAAATAAACTTACATACATCGAGTCATTTAAATGTCGTATATTACGTTAATATACACATTTCATTAATCCATCCATGATATTTTTTTCAAAATTATTTAATAAACACGATGCATAAATATTTAAATTAAGATAAATACACCCAAGTAGAATAAATAAACAAATGTGAGATGTGAGCAGACGACTTGCACAAGTGGTGATAATAACAATACTGAGTCTCATTAAATGTCGTATATTACGGTAATATACACATTTTCATTAATCCATCCATGATATTTTTTTCAAAATTATATAATAAACACGATGCATAACATATAAATAAGATAAATACACCCCACAGTAGAATAAATAAACAAATGTGAGATGTCGTAGCAGACGACTTGCACAAGTGGTGATAATAACAATACTGAGTCTCATTAAATGTCGTATATTACGGTAATATACACATTTTCATTAATCCATCCATGATATTTTTTCAAAATCATATAATAAACACGATGCATAACATATAAATAAGATAAATACACCCCACAGTAGAATAAATAAACAAATGTGAGATGTCGTAGCTGACGACTTGCACAAGTGGTGATAATAACAATACCGAGTCTCATTAAATGTCGTATATTACGGTAATATACACATTTTCATTAATCCATCCATGATATTTTTTTCAAAATTATATAATAAACACGATACATAACATAAAAAGATGATAAATACACCCACAATAGAATAAATAAACATAAATATAAGATGTGGGAGCCACATAACTTGTACAAGTGACGCCAAGAATAACATTTTCTCTAATCTAACATAAGAGTAAATGTGTTACTGGGGGTAACTGTAGAAAATTATTCCTTTCGTATGTATGTAAGTAAGTTTATTCAGGTATACACAAATACAGTTACATAGATTATCATACATAACAACATACGTGTAGAGAACCTAGGATAACCCAAAAAAGTCAGTGTGACTTATTTCCATTGCCTTCACTCAGAGCTTCATTTCTTCTCAAAATGATGTTACATGAGAATGGGAGTGTTCTTCTTTATTAATTCTACCGTATCAATGTAGAGACAACCTGTACACAATGTAACTTGTACACAAACCAGACGTGTACACTTCGTTTGTTTACAAAACTTACCTTCCCCTGGTTTGTTTACATAACTGCGCCTGCCCCTCTCATGTATTCATTCTTTCTCTCTCTCATTTATTCGTTTTATCTCATTTACTTACTCCTGACCCTACATTAAGACTACAAATATTTTAGGTAAGTAATGAGTGAACTGTATATACATTTTATCGCTCTGGGATGCTTAAATATCATAGAATAGTATGTGTGGGTGGGGTGGCCTGGTGAGGCTATTACCAATACATACCACACTTGATTTCTTACAATAAATACTACTTGTCTCACCCTAGATTAAGACTATAAATATTTTAAGGTAAGTAATGAGTGCACTATGTGTGTATTGTACCTTTTTATTGTTTTTTGATGCCTGGTTCTATTGCTAACTTAATATATGTTAGTGTAAACTTGTTATCTAGTGTTTGTATGCATTTATAAGTGGAAAAAAAGGGTGTTCCACTTTACGGCGATTTCCGCTTTACGGCGGTAGCCTGGAACCTAACCCGCCGTATAAGTGGGGCCCTACTGTACTTGTATACCCAAGCCATGGTATGAGCTGAATGTGTTTACCACTCACGCAAACCTGATGGATAAAATATTGCCTCAATAAGCATTAATCAAATACAGGGCAACTATAAACTCCAAGCAATATCCTTGATAATGGGAATTAAACATCACTTAATATTGAAAAATATATTAAGATATCATTTAAAATGTCTGAAGTTTTGGTTCATGGCTGTTACTTTATTAAATGAAGATATGAAGCAAAATTTTCCTTGCCTTTTTTTTTATTTAAATTTCCAACAGGGTTGAGGCATTTTATATTCATATTTTGACTGAACATTATTCCTTACTGGAAAGTGACTTCAGAGAAGCGTGTTGAATTTTTAAAAAATAAAATTTTCACTTACTGTGAGAAAAGTTATTAATTTCATAGTCATAATAAGTTACAATAGGGTAGGAAAGGTCAAGTAAGGATCTCTTTAAGCACCACAGAAACTGATTAATGAAGAGAGTCCTACCCAACTTCTGCAGTCATATTCTGCAAATGGAACTCAAGAATTTCAATTTTAAAATATATTCTACTTTATGGAGGAAAGTACATACATACAGTGGCCGCAAAAAAAATCTATACATTAACAATTTTTGGACAATAAAATGAAAAAATGCAACTTAATGTATGCACATGTATTTTATTTTCACTTTTTAGCATCCAACTAGCACTTAGTCATGTTACCAATGTTCTTTATCACCATCTGAAGTCGCCTGGGCATCAAAGTGGCAAGGGTGGAGAAGAAGGAGGCATCTATGTTGATCCAAAGCTTCTTCAGTGCCTCCTGCAGGTCCGTGATGTTGGTGGGTCGAGCTTTTGCAATTTCATTTTTCATCATATGCCAGGCATTCTCGATAGGATTTAAGTCAGGGAAAGTGCCTGACCACTCCAAAACACTAATATTATTGTCGTCGAGGAACTTTTTCACTCGTTTTGACTTATGGGCAGGAGCACGATCATGAATAAAAACATCACACTTGTGAATGTTCCAAAATGTCAGCATGTGGTCCCTTAACACCTCGATATAATTACTTCCCTTCATCGTAATGTTCTTAGGAAGAAAATATAGTCCACCTCTGACCTTATAACTACTAAAAGCACCCCAGACCATAACGCTGTCGGGGTTCTTCACTGTCTTCACGGCATACCACAGGTCATAACAGGACACACCACTGGGATTACGGGCAGTCTTAGAGCCAATCCTGACGAGCCTGAAGGTACTCTCATTGCTGAACATCACCTTCTGCCACTTGTCTGAGGTCCAATCCTTGTACTTTTCGCAGAACTGAAGCCGTTTCTTCTTCTTCATGGTTTCAATTAGCATGGGCTTCTTGGCAGCACATTGAGCAGGCATTTTTAGGTCCTTTTGCAGTCGGTGCTGAATGGTTTGCACTGAGACGTTTTTCAGAAGTGCAGGATGCTTTTTCATGAGGTCTGTGGCTGTTATGGCAGGACCTGATAACACTTCTCTCCTCAGGATCTTGTCTGTGCGAAGAGAAGTCATTTTGGGGGCCCCAAATCCCACCTTCCTAGGTGGTACGGTGCCAGGTGGGAGTGAGACAGCTGCTTTCTTGAGGTTGTAATTTACCATCCTAGTCACCTTCAGGTCTGCGCCTATGGATATCACAGACATGCCTTGCTCTAATAGGGTGAGTGCATGAGTCTTCTCTACAATTGAAAGTTTATTTGACCCATTCTGACCACTTGGAGCAGAGTTCGTGGTTGAGTGAAAAAATGGGTAATAAGTAACAACGTAGCAATCCTCCTTCCTCATCGAGCTCTGGAAGAGCACTGACATGTGGGGTGGTGGGGAACATTGGAGCAAGATGGGCTCCAGTACACTAAGCCATCACAAGCTCCGCCCACTTTTCTTATGGTGGAAACTCAATTGAAATGTATACACAAAATCTAGTGTATAGATTTTTTTTGCGGCCACTGTATCATCCAGGAAAACATTTAAGTAAATCTTTCCTAAAATCTTGAACAGTCCTTTATGGGCATGCAGCACACAAAATATTTATCATGACAAAATGTTTGTTAGTGAGTAAAAAATAAACTACACCATTACAGTCCTGTACTAATCCAGTCTTGTTTGACTGAAACAAGTGAGAATAGACAGGTATATTTTCTTTAGCATAACACAAATTCACATGGAAAAATAAAATAGAAGAGTGGCATATATATTTTGACTTAAAACTGCTGAAAAAGAGCCTCAGTGTGACATATACATCAGCAATGTGAAGCTCAACACAGGTAAGGGCTACCTCTGACTTACAAGTGACATACCTGACATATTGGAATTATATGTCAACAGGGCATGTATTAACCCTATTTGTAATCACCATCCACACAGCCCCATGGGATACAGATATCCAACACTGAAAGAGATCCCCAGACCTGCAGCTGCTAGGGTTCTGAACTGTAAACCAATAAGATAAGTGCCTTTTCATGGTATTCAATGTATTTATCAATACAAAAAATACCCACAGGAGGCAATCAGATTTGATTGAAAGAAGCTGAGATCATGTCCAATTCCTTGGATCAAGGGCTCCTCACCAGCATCAAGAAACTTCCTTTGAGGCATACTCATTTTCTATTTTGCTTTTTGCCATGTGAGTTTGACCTATTTACTGACCAGTGTTCATTATACTGTTGCACCTGGTGGAGATGTTGTGTATGAGGGAAATGTGTAGTGTTAATATTATGTAGAGAACTTGGAGCATGGAGATTAGAAGGTGAAGGGTTACCAAAAATATTAATCAGAAGAGTGAGGAAGTTTTGGACATTTGCAGAGGATGGAGCAAAATAGAATGACTAGTAGGGTGCATAAATCTGAAATAATGAGAAAAGGGGTAGTGGTTGTGCCAGAAAAGGTTGAAGTGAGAGGGTAAAGGGAGAGGATAAAGGAGGTCTCGAGTGCTAAGTGTTGAACATCTAACAAGCCTGTGTGAGCATGATAGGAGTGGAGGTCAGCAATTTTTACAACTTTATGTCTCTTGGAGTGTGAGCAGGAGAAACATTTATGAAGGGATTCAGAGAAACCAGTTACTGCATATTGCCTGCACTCTGAAGGAGTGGGGATGTTGCAGTTTAGAGAGCCATTTGAACTGTGATGTCAGCACTCTTCTGGCAAGACAGTGATTAAATGAGTGACAGTGTCTTCATTTTCATATAAACCTATCTTTGTGGGGTAGCAGATTTAAAGTGATCCAATCCTTTACATAATCATTTTTTAAATAGTGGATAGTGGCCCCTCACAGGGGTCATGAGAGAGATTAACCTTAACCCTTAATCTGCTGCAGGGTATAAAATACAAGTACCATTAGTGCCACTAATTTAAAAAAAA